CTCCGGCTTCTTTATCGCCCGTAAAAATCCATCACAAATTCAGTGCACCTATAAATTATGTACAAAATGTATTTTATATGTTTATTATTTCGCGAGGAAGTTAGGAGGAGACTAAATTCCGGAAATGCTCGCTACTTCTCGGCTCAAAATATTTTGTCTTCCCGTCTGATTTCTAAGAACCTGAAAATTAAAGTATACAAAACAATAATTTTGACTGTTGTTTGGTATGGGTGCGAAACATGGTCTCTCACTCAGAGGGAGGAACACAGATTGCAGGTGTTTGAGAATCGGGTGTTGAGGAGGATATTTGGGCCTAAGAGGGAAGACGATGGGGCGTGGAGAAAACTGCACAATGACGAGCTTAAAAATCTGTACTCCTCCCCCAATATTGTCAGGGTGATTAAGTCGAGAAGAATGAGATGGGCGGGGCATGTAGCGCGCATGGATGGGACAAGAGGTGTGCACCAGTTAACTCATAGTGCAGTTATGTTGCAGGATTAAGACATTTTTACGTTATATGAGACGCTAAAAATACGGCGACGAACATTTGGATTATAGTTTTCTGGTTGTGACGCCGTTTAATCTTGCTACCAACGTTTCGGAGGAACGTATGATGTCCATCTTCAGGTTGCTTGTATTTGCCCTAACCTGTGGAAGCAAGTAGTTTTAGTTTCCGTGTTAGCAACCTCACATCTAGGGCTTCGTTCTAAAATGTTAATTAATTTAGTTATGTAGGCATAATGATACGCCTTTCTGCTACTCCAGTAACTGGAACATGCTAGTGACAGCGACTCGCAGTCGATTGGCTTCGTTCCATAGTTCCGGACGTAGCCGCTCCAAATGGTGACCGATCAACGAAGCCACGAACTGCGTCTTCACTCAAACCGAAGGACATGAAGTAAACATCTTGGGAAGCTAATAGTCGCTCAGCTGATCAAAATATTCCCAGTGTCTTATTGGACACGGAGGTCTAGTCCTTATCATAAACAAGATAAATCTGGTCCACGCCTGATTTATTTAAAATTCTTTTTAATATTATCCTCCGTTCTGAGCCTGCGTCTTCTTATTGACCTCTTCCCTTCAGGATTTCCGACCATAATTTTGTTGTGATGCGTTAATCACAGAAAGCTGCCTTGTGGTAATTAGCACTAATATTAAATCCCTCGGGGGATAGGATGCCGTGATATTTTAAAATAGACCACGACTGGTTAATTACACAACCATTGAAGTTTACAAATCATCCTACCATTAGATGCTGCATAACCTATCCAGGTGATTAAACCAAGAAACAATTATTGTAGTATCTGATTTACGAGAACAATAAATATTTTGTAGCATCAGTGTTAGTACGAGACGTCGTAGTCTGGAACAAAATCATCTGAAATTCATATAACTCAATATTATATCGTAATTATGTGAAATATCAAACTAAAAAAAACGATTATCAGAAATTGGAATTTTTTTATATTTTGTTGGAGTCATCGTAAGATTATTCCATACGGCAGAGGCGTTCTCTAGTTTTGACATAATTAAAGCAATGTAAAAATAACTAGACTATATAAAGAACATAAATTATAATTAATTAAACGAATAAGCCACTATGACCATAATGCCAGAGAATATACAAAATGAAAAATACAATTTGATAATAATACTACCGATAAGATACAACGAAAACCCTGTAAAAGTGACAGGGAACCTTAATAAAAAATATAATTTCCACCTTTTAAAGAAGGAATAAGGTAAATATGGCTCCAAAATGAAGCGTACAGAATCGCAATAATTCTGTCTCCCACATTACGCTGAAATTATCTCAAAGAATCTCAGTGCCAGTATCAGACATCTAGACTGCGACAGAAATTTTGTTTCAGTCTAAAAAGGACTGGTAATGATACACGTCTGTCCCATAGCATTTAATATCTTAAAATGACGTGGCCTTTTCGTCACGTTATCACACGTGACCATTTCAAAATGATCTGAAGCTTTCACGGCATTAGAATATTACTTATGGACTATGCGGTATCCGCGTGTTCCTACGCGTTTTCCAACTGTTTCGAGGAATATGTCAAACCCTTCTTTAAGGCAACAGGTCCCCTGAAGGTACAGTCTATACAATTCTCAGAAACGTAGGTGTCGGTGTTACAAACCGGAAGTAGACCACACCTCGTAAGGTTCGGTTAGTTGATTTTGTATAATGTAGATTATTTCTTTCTCCGATGAATGTGTAACAATAAATGCCTGCTTCAAAGTGGTAAGAACTGGAAAGGAGACGACATTTTTATGATTAATGTTGGCAGTACAAGCAGTTTGAGTTCTGTGTCTCTGAGGTCAAGTTTCTGTCATGTTCGCTCAGTCCGAAAATATTGGCAGCAAACCGTATTATTTTCTGGTTTTTATTTGTTATAATCCCTGCCGGAATTTCATATTGTAAAAATTACATTTGTATGCAAAATTGCAGCTTGTTATTGTGACACGTGATATGCCAATCCACAAGGTGGCGTTTTTAAATGTTACTTGAATAAACATGAAAATAAAATAAAATGAAAGTGGAATTGTAACCTAACCTGAGGCTGGGAATTCACAGTCAGGTTCAGTGTAAAATTCTACAACACGGTTTAATTTAAACTTTTCGCAGAACGATTGGAACATTTGTTAACTCGTAATTACATAATGATGAGCTTAAAAATCTGTACTTCTCCCCCAATATTGTCAGGGTGATTAAGTGGAGAAGAATGAGATGGGCTGGGCATGTAACGCGAATGGATGGGACAAGATGTGTGCACCGGGTATTGGTTGGGAAGCCTGAGGGGAAGAGACCGCTGGGGAGACCTAGACGTAGATGGGAGGATAATCTCAGGCGGGATCTATGGGAGATAGGAGTTGAAGGAGACTGGATTTTGTGTCCGGTGGAGGGCTTTGGTTAGTTCGGTGATGAACTTTCGGGTTCCGAAAGCCATCTGGTTAGTTAACTCATAATACAGTTATGTTGCAGGATTAAGAAATTTTTACGTGATATGAGACGCTAAAAATGTGGTATAAAGTTTCCACTGTGATGAAGTACCACGCCATTTGTCTCATGAGGAGTGGAGGAATATTTCCACGCATTTTAAACTCTAGCATTGAATTCGAGTGAGTGGCCAGCCTTCCGCTCGGGCCACCGCACCCCATACACAGTTGGCCCTACTGTCGCATTCATCCGGATAGCGAAGATAATTATTCTGTCTCCTGCAGTAATTTCAGTTTACATTTCTCTAGAAGATGATAGTCTTCCTCTTATATATGGCCGGTTCTCGAGGTAATAATGTGTTTTCTTGTGGTTTGCTGACTAAAAAAAATTATACGCGTGTCTCATCTATCCATGCTTTCTGAATGTCCAGCCCATAGCTTCCTTATAGTTGTGTGTACCGGAATTTATTACGGTGAGTTAATGAGGGTTTCCAACTACGTGTTCCTGTAGTTGAAATAATTATGTACATTGACGGACAGACATTATGATGTCTGGTCAAAAGTGGCCATAATTGTCAGTCAGATTCGAAATTACTTCATCAGTTGTCGGTTTCCATATGCACACGATCACGTCATGCTAGTAATTAAATAGACATATCAGATTTCCGATGTAATGTGACGCGGATATAAATACCCAGCTGTATTATTTATCGGGACAGTAACATTCAGTTTCGATATTTAATTTCAGTGCGTTATTGAAACCGAATTTTGTGTCCTAAATGTCAGGTTTCTCGTGGGAACGACAAGTCAAATCGACGTAATACAATAATATCCTGTCATAAAGATTGACGTATGCGAATTTCCCTCTCAGAACTTGAGAATGTTCCCGTTACACGGACGTCGACTGCCACACGACAGCACACTCTGATGTTGTGCAGTTCATTGCTGCCATGACTCCGCCACTGCTTAAACGCCGATTGGCGGATTTTGTTTCAGATTCAAATCTAAAACTTCTTGACGATTGTAATGAGTCATTTGAATAAAAATTTTCTTGGATATTATCCATCTTCTAGTAAATAAAATATAAAACGTAAAACGACGTTTCGGAGATGGGGCTCTATCTCCGTCTTCAGGTTCCTACTCATTTGGGCCCACTAGATAGAGCTAATCCCTATCTCCGGACCCGAAGACGGAGATAGAGCCCCATCTCCGAAACGTCGTTTTATGTTTTATATTTACTAGACGATGGATAATATCCAAGAAAATTTTTATTAAAATTTTTCAGATTGATCTAAAATGTATAAATACATTATTTACAGTGCCTTAAAAGTTTATTTTGATGTGTTAATCCTCAAAATAATCGCTACAGCGGCCCACATCTCAGTGTTCGCACCTGAGTACAGTGTAACCTCTTCCCATGCTTGGAACACACGCGGACGAATCGTCCCTGTGGCCTCGGGATTTTCCGAATGAAATGCCTTTCCGTAAGTCTCCTGGCACTGTCTTATCGGACTAATGTCGCCCATCTTCCCTCACTTTAAGAAGAGGCCTTTCACTGGTCGATCCCGATAAGACAGTCGTTCAATTTTGTTCCGTGTTTTCCCGGTAGAGAACAAGCGAATTTAGCACAGAGCAGTTTCTTATACCGTTTATGCACTCTGATTCCTTTAAACGAAAAATATGACTGAAGGAGTTGATCTTTTAGGTCGACACCAATCATGTACAGGTTGAAATTCAGCCCGCATACTAATTTCGTCTTCTGTTTTCCCCTCTTTGAAACAGTCCTGGTTTCATCCCCATGACAAGTCAAAATCATTGCTTCTATTTATCACTTCGCTTGATTACTTAAACAGAACCAGAATGCTGTGAAATTATCCAGGGTTTTTTCAATATTTTTTGGGGACATTTTTCCTGTTCAGTTACAACGTCTTGACGTTGATTCTGATATCGAAATATCCAGTTCATTTTCACACCTTAAGAACTCAGATCTGACTGGCACAGTTGTAAAAGTGGTTTCAGTTTTGAAATACCATACTTGAACTGATTTTATGTAGAATTTTAGAGACTACAAAACCAAAGAGCGTGATTACGAGAGTTGGAAGTTTCTAGGCACGAGTGTCCATCCAATCTCTTGTTCCCTGTCCGCAGTGGTTGACTGCGCGGTGTCTGCCTGGGGTCCCTGGTCGGACTGTGACGTCGAGTGTGGCACTGGAATGATGACCCGGTCGAGGACAGTCGAAAAGCAGCCAGAAAATGGGGGCAAACATTGTCCATCCCTTATCCAGAAGCGGGGATGTCAGGGTTCTCGATGCACACACAATCCGCGCAGTGCCATCAAAGGTAAGCTTCATCTGCACGATTCTGTACAACCCTTATCAGACGTCATGCGTGGAATTTGGACGTAAGTGTAGTGGCATCCCAGAGGGAGGACAGTGCCTTAGCTGACCTAATTCTGGTGGAAAACCTTAAGTTTGTTCTTCCTGCCAGACTTTGTAGACGTCTATTGGACATGAGGGGTTGAGGATATTTGGGTGAAGCCATAAAATGGATCCCAGGGCAATAATTTATGTACTAAATGTTGTTCTTGTTCATAAAACTTTAAGAAGGAAGACTTCTAAGGGTCTGTTGATATTGACAGCAGGTTGAAGATGCAAAACAGTCTTTATCTGATATCAGGCCCACGTCAATCAATTAACACTGGTTTAATTATTACAATGTAGTCTAGCAGAAGTTTACCTTCGTTTTAGAGATAATTTCTGCCTCCATTATCGTCCTGAAAATGGAGGCGGTAAGAAACTCAGACACGTCTGTAAATTTCTACCAAACTGCATGGTGTAACGTGAGGCAGTGACACATTACAAGTTGCTGAAAGACATCCGACATTAGTATGAAGTTTCCTTCAGACAGCTGTTCGAAGGGCTCTTTATCTCTGTACTAGACGGAAGATAGTGCTCAGCTTCAAGCTCCGGCCGCTGTGCCTACAAGGAAGGCGTCTGCTTTGCCCATTAGATAAGCTGCCTGAGCGAGTTCCGGACCAGGTCAGGATTTACTGCACACATCAGGAATCGAAACCCGCTTTTCTGACTAGCCTGTAGGCACTCACTTCGTTGAATCAGCTGTCGCCACTTTGTTAGTGTTGCTTGCGAGGAATATCCTTTGAGTAGCGAAGTTGGTGTTTGTGTTCACAGAAATTAATTGTTAGTTCCACGCATCGTGGTTTCATAAACTGCCTGAGAACCTGATAGCGTTCACAGCTCTTTTGAAGATAACTTTATTCAGTTATGGGAGGCGGTTGTTTGTACAGTGAACCGGAAGTACTTAGCTACGTGGGAGTGTAATAGAATTTGTGTATCGTGGCAGTAATTAGATACCTCGCGGTAGGACACACGCGCCTTGTAGTTCTACATCACGCGCAACAAATACGTCGTCATTTCTTTAGCGACGAAACTGCTGTGTTGTGTTATCGTGGCTTTCCGCAGACACTGGAAAACTCGATGCGAATAGTCTCGGTTATGTGATTTGTAATATTGTAGTTACTTCGCTCATTGGCTGCAGGACTTAACGAGCAATGTAACAGATCAGAGGGTGTAGAAGACATTTTCAACTGATAGATGTTCAGCTTTCTCGCCTTCAGTGAAACTCGGTAGTTCCATACAATGAATTTCGGCTGTCTACTGGTTTGTTGCGCTGTGTAAGTCTTGGTAGCAGTTTACCGACGTTTCGGAGGTGCTTACTACCTCCGTCATCAGGGCAGGTAAACTTCTACCAGAATACACGGCGTAACAATCCAGAAGACAGCCATCTTGAGAGTCATCGCCGTGAGAATCTAAAGTCCTACTAAAATTAATGAAGTTCAAAGAACCATTAAGATGAGCCTGAGAGAAGGGTTGCCGACCTAGAACAGTATTTTGAACGAATGGAAGAATTATCCTTGCAGGCTGCTGAATGTACACACAGTTAATGATGTTAGGCAAACTGAAATACGTACAGCTGTTCCATTAGTGCCCGAGGCTGGATCAAATTCTGGCAGACGTAGTCCAAGGTAACACAATATATTCTGAGATCCACATAGTTATTAATTGTAACTTGAATGAGGAAGTATTTGCCAGAATAGCGAAAGGAATATGTAGTGCTTATTCATTAGAAGGACGATAAAGTTGCCGTAGTAATTAACGAGGAATATCAAGTATATATTAAATCTTGTCCGTCTAATCACAATAATTCTTATTAAATATTAAAATATTACAATAATTAACATTTAAAATATTTAGAATATTAAATGATGTTCTTTATCGAAATATTCGATTTACATTAGACCATCATTTTTCATGTTTCACGACATGTTTCAGTTCCTAAAAGAACCATCCTCAGGTGTATATAATTATATAAAGCTTCAAAACGATAAATAATTCAAATACAATTTTCATACATTATGCTAGCGTACATTTTTATCAGATTTTTACCAGATATCAAACGATGTTCTTTTTCAGATTTTTATTCCATTTTTAATAACACACTCGATGTTGTTCTGTATATATACATCATGCTCAATGTGACTTTAGTGTGGGTGAACGTTTTGTTGTTTTTGTATCAGTCTGTAATGTAAATAACATAAAGGTTAAATGAATATTAGTAAAATATAAAACAAAGTAATATATATTGAAGATAATTTTTGAAACATACCAGAAATATCAAGTAATCACAGAATGTTATGCAACATTCTTCTGTCAAGTTTAACTTTGTACGTAGACCATCAGCGTGGATTAATGAAACTACTGATCGGATATTCTGAATTCCTGAGGCAGCCACCGGATAAAGACGGGATGCAGTTAAGAAGAAGTCGGAGAGGTTTCAAGATGGTCCGCGGTTTAGCTGTGTAGGTTTACCAATAAAATTATTAAGTCCAATTAAGATATGTTCATATGAAACATGTACTAAAGTCCGTGTAGGTAAACGTCTGTCTGATGCATGTCTTATTCAAAATGGTCTGAAAGAAGATGAATTTTCGCTGTTGTGCCACCAGGAGGGTCCAAAGAGGGGTTGGAATGGAATTGGATTGTGGCGATGTTAAATTGCTTTGCAGAAACATAAGTATCATGAAGACGAACACGGAAGGTCCATTAGACGCTAGTAAGGAAGTGGATATAAAAGTAAACGCAGAGAAAGCTAAGTGGACCGACGTGTTCAGTCTCGTCACCAGACCTCAGGAAAGGACAATCACATAAAGACAGATAACGAATGCTTTGGAAAGTGGCGATGTTCAAATATTTTGGAACAGCTGTAAAAAGAGACAACCAAGTTTCATTCAGGAGGAAATTTGAAGGCTAAATTTTCTGGCTACTATCTAAAAACGCAAAGATTAAAAGTATAATCTTATAAACTGGATTCGGTTAATTTGGTTCAGGTTACGGTCTGAGGCGGACTTTTGTGGACGTGGTGACGAACCTTCCCAGCTCCATAAACTACTCGAGATTTGCTGGGTGTACAATTTAACTTCTGAAGTTCTGTGCTCCATGGAGTTGGTAATTAACAGTTTGGTGTTAGCGGTTCCTTCTGAATTCTTACTCCCGCAGAAGATGAGATGGCATTTGTTAGAATTAGATAATCTGTTGATACGTCACCGAATATGTTTGTTTGTATAAACACATTTTATTAAATCTATGCTCTGCTTAGAGCTGTGTAATCTTAATTAAGAATGGGGCCTGTTTCTCGCCATCTGGTGATGATCTCCTGTGAACGAAATTCCATTGTCTTCCTGTGTGTAGCAAGTGATGTTAGGGTTAAGAGCCAAGATGGCCAGGTCATCAAAGTGACTGGGTCCGTGGTTTAGATTCCCGACAGATGTATGAAGTTTTCTCTTAGCAATGGCGTTCAGACACATCGACAGCGAGTCGACGTCCTATGAACTAACTGTTCGGCGGTGAGGGGGTGGGGGTGTTTCTTTACCTTAGTGCAAGCCGCCGGGACATGGAGCCGAGTAACTTCAATTAAGTATCGATCTTAAAAACGAGTGAGGCAGTTTTTCTCCTTAAGTTCAAATTTTATAAGCAAAAAAAGAAAGTTAATTTGTAACTTTTCGGCACGAGGATTCTGATAGTTGTAAAGGTTGTGTTGACTGCGTGAACCAGCTACATTACTGATTTGTGTTTCGGTGTTTCGTCCCACAGACAATTGAAATGTCTGTCTGTCTGGCGTGAGTAACACCTTCGCGATTTGAGTTTGTTCCAAAATTGAAGTAATTTCATTTTACATCCGACTCTATCTGGCAACACAGAGATGGAGACGAAATTTAGCATTTTCCGCCGAAGCTCGTTCTACGAAGAGTTAACTCGAAAGAAAGAATTCTTCAGTTGGCTTAAATTCCGCTGTTGCCCCGAGGCGGGTTTCGTTGCCCGGAACTCCGATTCACTTGGCACAGGGAAAACGGGCGTTGAAGTGTCGAGCTATATTCCACCCTGTCGACTCCTGCTGTCAGCGTTGTCCACCGACTGCGTGCCACGGACTTTGGGGACCTGTTGCTTTCCCTGGCCGATCAAACAGCTCACACCACAAAAATGTCCGGTCGAACCGGCTGCTGCTGCTGGTGCGAAGAATGAATAAATCGTGATTCTTGTGTTGGGTATAATGTGTATTGTAATGGCTGTTCTACGAACTTAAATCGCGAGATCGAAGCCCTTTGAGGCACGGATTTCTGTGTTATCCTGTGTTGTCCACGTGCCATGCAGTGCATCCCTGATACACACACCGTAGTTGGATAGATGAACCCATATTCCATCTGAATGTGATGTCAGTAGGAAAATCTATGCTCCTGCGGAGGGATATTTCAATTAATTTAAATTATTTATTTTAACGTGCTGACTTGCAGCTGTGGGAACCAGTTACAGAGTCATCACAAGGAACAAATAAATAATAATAATTAAATTAAATTATTTATTATTATTAGTGTGCTGCATCCACAGCCAAGAGGCCAATCACAGACAGGTCAAGGGAAGAACATGAGAGTAAATATAGCAACATAACAACACAGAATCGAAAATTACATGCGTGTAGAATATTTGGCCACCATCCCGGGCGAACACGACATCAGGGAACTGCAGAAGACCGCCTTTTTGGGATGTTCGTACATCATTCGAAAGACGCTGTCGTAAAATATATAGGCATCCCTACAATAAAACTACATAATACATGTAACACGTATTAAAAACAAGATGTATTTCCGAAATAGCTGCTGCCCTATGGACCTCAGGGGCAAGGTCTGTCTCGGGTACATGGAAGTAAATACCATATAAAGTGGTGATAGATGGAATGATGATGATAATAATCGGTAAGAGTTGGACCAA